TATTCCTTCCTTCCCCCTCCTTCATCTATTTGCTCTTTTTTCCTCTCTCTCTCTTTCTTTCTTTCCACCTTTCTCTCTCTCAGGCAAATAAATATCATTAGCAAACAAATAAATATCATTAGACGAATAAATATGATCAATATTTTGTTTGTTTTTTGGCAGTCCCATTTAAAGTTAATGAAAAGCAAATTTGCATATTTTCCAATAAAAACATATATGTAATATTTGTTCATGTCCCAAGCCTCTCAAACATCTGACATTTATTGTATGTGGCTCTTACGTTAAGCAAGTTTGGCCATCCCTGGTCTGGTAGCACCTTAAAGACTAACAAAATCTGTGGCAGCGTAGGAGCTTTTGTGAGTCACTAACAAATTTGTAGCATGGTAAGAGCTTTCATGAGTCGCTGTGACTCACAAAAGCTCCTACCCTACCACAAATGTTGTTAGTCTTTAAGGTGCTACTGGACTCTTGCTCTTTTCTACTACTGTACTGCACGACTTTAAGGTCAATGATGAAGAAATTGAAATGGTTCAAGATTTCCTATTCCTTGGTTCTGACTCCGACCAAAAGGGAGACTGCAACCAGGAAATCAGAAAGCGGTTGAGATGGGGAAGGGCGGCCATGAAGGAGCTCGAAAAGATTCTTAAGGGTAAGGATGTGTCACTGCTGATCAAGACAATGCATACCCTGGTATCCCCCATGACTATGTGTGGGTGTGAAAGTTGGACAGTGAAGAAAGCTGACAGGAAGAAAGTGGATTCCTTTGAAAAGAGGTGTCGGAGGAGAGTTTTACGGATACCGTGGACTACCAAAATGACAAATCGGTGAGTTCTAGACTTTCCCTAGAAGCTAAAATGACTATGCTGAGGGTATCGTACTCGTCACATTATTTGAAGACAAGAATCACTGGAAAAGACAATCATGCTAGGAAAAACTGAAGGCAGCTGGAAAAGAGAAAGGTCAAACAGGAGATGAACTGACTCGATCAAGGAGGGAATAGCCTTTGGTTTGCAAGACCTGAACCAGACTGTTAACAAGCTGTTTCGAAGGACATGAATTCAATGGTCACCATAGGTCAGAAGTGACTTGACGGCACGTATCACATAACATACAATGTGCCTGCCCTCGGCTGAGATTGGAATAGTAAAACATAGCAAGTTATAAGGTAAAGGTAAAGGTTCCCTTGCTCGAAAGCCAGTCGAATCCGACTCTAGGGTTGCGGTGCTCATCTCCGTTTCAAAGCCGAAGCGCCAGCGCTGTCCGAAGACGTTTCCATGGTCATGTGGCCGGCATGACTAAACACCAAGGCGCACGGAACACTGTTACCTTCCCACCGAAGTGGTACCTATTTATCTACTTGCAATTTCTTGCTTTCGAACTGCTAGGTTGGCAGGAGCTGGAACTAGAGACAGGAGCTCACCCTGTCTTGCGGCAACCCGGGTCTCGAACTGCTGAACTACCGACCTTCCACAGCCCGCAGTTCAGCGTCTTAACCACTTGAGCCACTGCAGCTCCATTATACTGTAGCAAGTTATACTGTACCTTTAAATATATAAAGGATTGTGGGAAATGTAGTTTAATAATCTTATGGTCCGCTGGTTAGGAGAAGCCTTTCTGATTGGTTTGATACAGCCTCCTTTTCCTTTGATACATTTACCTGGGAGAAACTGTTTATTGCTCTCCTCCTTTTAGCTTGTTTGTGATCTTGGCTAGCAGACGGGAGAGATTCAGCTTCTTTTACCGCATGAATCACTCAAAAGACTCGGGACTTTAAAGCTCATAACGGCTAATGAAAAGGAAATGTGACTAAAACTGAACCTTTGGATGCTTGAGGGTTGAATAAAGTTGATTCCAAATGAGCGAAGACTGTGTGTTAAATACTTAGCCGATCTTAAGAGCCAGCTCAGGCTGCCGGGAACAGCATATACAACAAAATGAATTCGGCAGAATCCTGCATCAGACACCAGACAAGTCTAGAATCGGGAACGTTTCAGTATCACAGGCACCAGGTGTTATCAAAGTCAACCCACCTGAGAGATGACATATTCAAGAAAACAATCAGAAACACAGACATTAAAATGCCAATCGCAGCCGTGACGGTTTGAAAAGAAGTCGAACAAATTGTCTGGGTCGCTCCACCATCCCGAGAGAACCCTGCATTTAACCCTTGCCCTCAGCTCGGCTTAAGTCAACTGTGTGGTGCCAGGAAGGCAAGTGTCAGAATGAACACGTTAAAGCCGTTACCACCTAGCACAGAAGCAGATGGCAAAAAAAAGAAGAAGCTATTTTGACATATCAAAATGAGATTTCCCTCAGGCCCCACGATTCCCGTTGTGGTGAGCTGTTTCGAAACAAAGCTTTTTAACCGGCTTAAGAGGCCAATTAAAACCTCATTCGACTGAGGGGAATTAAACGGCAGACTCTCTCATCACGCTCACTCTACCTTTACAGACGCAACCGAGTCAGCATCTGCAAGGTTTGTGTCGGCAGCTGGATAACGAACGGGCTGCACGACTTCCGCCATTTCTGGGCAAACAACCGAGCATCGGGTGCTTCCCTAAAACGCTTGAGGATGATCAGGTTAGGGCCAAAGGGCATTTCGGGCCCAACCCTAAAATGCAATTTGTATGCTTTGAACAGTAGAAAGGGTCAGAGAGTCCGACAGTCATGGGGAAAACGCCTTCGGGAATCCAGGGCACGACCTCCCGCTGATACTCGTCTGGCACCTCTCCGACTGTCATGTGGGCAGCGGGCCAAACCGCCCCGAGCTTTTAATTGAACTTTAATCCCATCCCTTTTTTAACTGGCTGTTTCATGGCCTACGTCCTGCTGAAGTGTTCTCTTGCTGCCGCTCCCTGCAATGACTGCCGCTAGAGGACAACGGCTCTGGAACGACTTGTTGCTGTTTTACATCTTCTTTATTGGCATCATTAATTTATGGCTTTTCACAGTTTTATGTATCACACTCTTGTTTAGATTTTGTTAGCTGCCCTGGACAGGCCTCTGAAGAGACGGCCCGTGAATGCCCCAAATAAATAACGAGACAAAGAAAAAAATGATGCAGAGGGAAAATAATTATTTAATCCGAACAACAAAACATCAAAAACCCCAAATAAATGAAGCAAGCAAATAAAATAAGCCGGGGTTCCCCAACGTGGTGCCCACGGGCGCCTTCTAGCACCTTTCCAGGGGCTTCTGAATCGGTATTGGAGATCCGATGGGCTGCACAGATATATTTTTTTAATTACTTTGGCAGCAGCTGCCACCACAGGACAAGGATTTTCATGGCGAGACTGAGGGTAAGCTGTGCGTGTGTAAGAAAAGGGGTATCTTGCCATGCAGAGCTTCTGCCTCAAATGTCGAAGAGTTAGGCATAACGTCAGTCCCTGACATTTTGTGGTTGGCTGGCTCCGCCCCCTGCAGCAGCCATTTTGTGTCGGTCTCCGCCTCCTCCAGCAGCCATTTTGTGGTTGCGCCCACCACCCTCTGTCAGAATTCCAAAGGTGCCCCTTGCAGCCTCAAAAAAGTTGGGGAACCCTGAAATTAAGTAAGTACTTTTCTTCTCTTAAACAAAATTTTCAACCAAAAGATTTCCCCACGTTCTTCTTTCCAAGTCAGCAAGGTGTTATTACCAACTGAATTCACATGGGATTTGTTCATTAATGGTGATGCTTTCCCTCTGGCACAAGGAACCTTCTGTTGAGCAAAGAAGGTCTTGCGCCAGCAGAAGGCGGCTTGCACTAGAAACAAGTTGCACCATTAATTGAACAGACCCCTGGGATCTAACCCTGTAATTTGTACTGCTATAGTAAACATCGTGAGCCCGGAAGTATCTACTAACACTCAGGAGTGAAGGTATTCATCAAAGACAATACAAAGTTCATCTGGCCGGTGCTGACGGAAAACACCCTTATTGTTGGCACGTACATTGCATCACAAAAGCAGCAACATTCGATCACATTAGAAAGAGCAATTTATTTAAAACAGGGGTGTCAAACTCATTTGTTACGAGGGCTGGATCTGACATAAATGAGACCTTGTTGGGCTGGACCACGTGTGTCATAAAATGTAATGCCAGGTAAAGGTAAAGGTAAAGGTTCCCTTGCTCGAAAGCCAGTCGAATCCGACTCTAGGGTTGTGGTGCTCATCTCCGTTTCGAAGCCGAAGAGCCAGCGCTGTCCGAAGACGTTTCCGTGGTCATGTGGCCGGCATGACTAAACACCAAAGCGCACGGAACGCTGTTACCTTCCCACCGAAGTGGTACCTATTTATCTACTTGCGATTTCTTGCTTTCGAACTGCTAGGTTGGCAGGAGCTGGAACTAGAGACGGGAGCTCACTCCGTCATGCGGCACACTCGGGTCTCAAACTGCTGAACTACTGACCTTCCACAGCCTGCAGTTCAGCATCTTAACCACTTTATAAACTTTATAAAGGACACAAACACAAAGGTTTTTTTTTTACTTAAAATAAAAACATGCTCAAAACATTAGCACTCTTGCAATATTTTGTTGATTTAACAGTGTCTGATCACTGACACCTCTTGCTCTGAAATACTGCATCAAAACATCTGTGCTGTTGCAACCTTGAGTATGCTGTTCAAGTGTGTATCTGTAAGCTGCAAACCTACGATGACGCAGCAGCAGCAGAACTGGAAGAAGAAGCAGACAACAGCCAGTTCCACTGCGGGCCTGAGAGAAGCCCTCCGGGGGCCTGATCCAGCCCCCGGGCTGCATGTTCGACACCCCTGGTTTAAAACATATACAACAATTGATATTTTGAAAACACCACTCCGTTACTGTGAAATCCTCTGAAGCTTGGGCAGAGATAAAGGTGCGCCTGGCTAGGATTTGGCCAAAAAGCATCCCCTGCCATCGCCCAGAATAACAGCCCCACCCTCGGTATCGCCTGGAACGCCCAGCCCCCAAGAGAGCGCATTAAGAACTGCATTAAATGAACACAACGTACCAGTTCATTTCATACTCTGCTTCTGGGCCTTACCTGAAAGCTGCCAGCAATGGGGCGTAGACTGAATCCCCGTCGTACACGTACAAGTGGTCCCAACTGCACTCTGTCGCAAAATGATTGAAGCGGAGCCTGAGGATTGTGTTCGGCCTGCAGAAAGGAGACGTGTGTGGCGTTATCAGACTGGACGATGGCAAAATCCGGGTCCCCTTCCAAAGGCTTCTGGGATCTATCTTAGCTGCGCACTGATACTAGATTCTTGTTAATGTGATGACTGCATCCCACGTGTGATGAGTGAATCCACCACCACTGTTTTTACGTTGCTGTCATTTCTTTGGAGCGTGTCCCCATATAATGAAACAAACATGTTACTTAACTGTAACCAGGGCTTTTTTTTGTAGAAAAAGCCCAGCATGAACTCATTAGCATATTAGGCCACACCCAACAGCAGAAACTCATTAGCATATTAGGCCACACCCCTGACAGCACATCATATTAACGTATTAGGCCACATCCCCATGTTGCCAGAGGTGTGGTCATCCAGCCACACCCACCTTTTGCTTCTTATTTTGTTTACCTTGTTTGTGGTCAAAACCCAGGGCCTTTTTTTGTAGCAGGAACTCCTTTGCATGTTAGGCCACACACCCCTAATGTAGCCAATCCTAATGAGTTTCTGCTGTTGGGTGTGGCCTATTATGTTAATGAGTTCCTGCTAGGCGTGGCCAACTTGGGAGCCAGGCGGAACTCCGTTCCTGTGTGTTCCTGCCCAAAAATAGCCCTGACTGTAACATTTGTTCTTCGAGGGGCTACCTGTGCATTCACATGGATGACCTTTGTGGAGAGCTGCATTTCAGAAACTTCCAGAGCTAGCGAGTTTCAGAATCGCACCTCCATGCAGCCACAAGAAGAAGAAGAGGAGATTGGATTTACACCCCGCCCTTCACTCAGAGTCTCCAAGCAGTTTACAATCTCCTTCCCTTCCTCTCCCCACAACAGACACCTCCTGTAACGGAGGTGGGGCTGAGAGAGCTCTGAGAGAACTGCTCTTGAGAGAACAGTTCCCACAGAACTTGTGACTGACCCAAGGTCATCCAGCAGCTGCAATAATCAAAAACGGGAGGCAGGATCCGCATGCTGGTGACTCCACACTCAGACAGACACCAATAGCTAATCTGGGATTTCGGCCTTAAAGGAAGAACATATGATCATGTCAGCTATGCTGCCATGAAGGTTGGGGAGTTTGGTCTGTATCTGGTTAATTGCTATTGCTTTCCTTTCAGGTCAATTGCTACTGTATTCCTTTCTGTGCTTTCTCTGCTGTGCGCCGAAATGCTTATCTATACAGATGTGCAGGAGGGTGTTGTGGTGTCCGGGTTTCCCCTAGGTGGCGTGGGAGAGTGTTCGTTCTCAGCTTCAGCTACCTAATGGTCTCTAAGCCTTAACCTGCGCGTGGGAGGGTGCCTAATTGGCCAGTGCTGGGGGGGGGGGGTGTGCATACGAATACCCTATATCCTATTATGCCCATGGGGCCGCCGCCATTCTTAACAGTGCCTATGTTACTGCCTCTATAGCTCTGCAATAAAAGTATAACCGTTCCTGAATGCGTGTACTTCGTTGTTGGCGGTGGGTTCTGACAGATCAGAGTAATCACGCGGGCTTGGGTTTTTTTGCAGAGCAGTGCCATTTCAGACTTCAGGAAGGGGACGCAGGCTGTTTGAATGTTGCCCTACATTAAAAGCTCTTTACGCGTGCAAAAGTAACACCTCGGGAGGAAGGGTCAAGGGGGACACACGAAATGACCAGGCTTAGAATGAAAGTATGAATGAGGCCTCCCAAGATCCATTCATATGCCAAATGATATTTCACTGATCATAATTTCTGGTCCAGGAGGTGCCTTTGAATAGCTGCTCAATCCAAGCCAAAGTATCCTCAGCAAGATTGTCCCTTTAGCAAGGACGAGAAATTATCATCAGTGAAATATCGTTTGGCATGAGGCCTCATTTATACTTTCTATGCCTAGGAATTTCCCTCTGGAACAGTTCTTTCTGGTCCCTTTTGTATCCGTGCTGTATAATTGTATTGTATTTTGTATTATGGTATAAGCCAATTTGTTCCTCGTTGTGTTTGACCTCTGAAGAAGACGCCAACAGGCCGAAACACGTCAGGTCAAGTCCACTGGCCCTTGTGTAGATATGATTTTGGAATTTTTACATAAGGTGAGATTGGGCCCCTATATGTTTTTTTGATTCTTTACAAATAAATACATGCATTTTTACATATTATTTATACATTGAAGTTTCAATTGTTGGCCCTCTATTCCAGGGGTGCTGAACTCATTTGTTATGAGGGCCGGATTTGACCTAAATGAGACCTTGTCGGGCCGGGCCATGTGTGTCATAAAATGTAATGCCAGGTTGTTGTTGTTGTTGTTCAGTCGCACAGTCGAGTCCGACTCTGTGCGACCCCATGGACCAGATCATGCCAGGCCCTCCTGTCTTCCGCCGTCCTCTGAAGTTGGCTCAATTTCATGTTCGTTGCCTCTATGACACTGTCTAACCATCTCATCCTTTGCCGTCCCCGTCTTCTTTGACCTCCAGGTAGTGGAGATGTAAACAGTATAAAGGACCCAAACACAAAGGGGTTTTTTACTTAAAATAAAAACATGCTCAAAACATTAGCACGCTTGCAATATTTTGTTTATTTAACAGTGTCTGATAACTGACACCTCTTGCTCTGAATCATTGCATCAAAATGTCTGTGCTGTTGCAATCTCTAGTGTGCTGTTCAGGTGTGTATCTGTAAGCTGCAAACCTACGATGACGCAGCAGCAGCAGAACTGGAAGAAGAAGCAGGAGACAGCCAGTTCCACTGCGGGCCTGATAGAAGCCCTCCAGGGGCCTGATCTGGCCCCCAGGCCGCATGTTCGACACCCCTGCTCTATTCTATTTTGCAACCCAGTTTTCTTGGGCTTGAACTCAATCACTCATACCCTCAAACGGTTCACCACCGTTTCCACGTCCATAAACTACCACAGCAAATATATACGGCTGATCGTGAACATCCTCAGAGGAATGGACAACGAACGTGCTACTCTTCTACAAAGAAAAAAGAAAACCCTGCCAAAAAAAGCCAGTGGAAGCAGCCGGGGAGGGAGGAATTCGATCATCAGTGCCATTAAGAGCGGATCCTTTTCACAGCTTAAAGGACCTCTGCTAAATGGCTGCCGGTTCCTTTGAAGGCGCGCCTCAATCAATGTGAATTTGGGACATCGTCAGAGGAGACAATGTTTCTTTTGCAAAGGGGACGGGGATGAACATTTTGTGCACCGGGGGAAACTTGGTCGGCTGCAGCCTCTCTCCCCTGTGGCACGATAAAAATAATTGGACGGCTGGGCTGGGAACCAAGCATTTGGACTTGGAAAGGAATGCTAGCCAACGCTCCCAGAGCGGCAGCGAAAGCCCTGGCATGCCCAGTCAACACAGCGCCCTGCATTTGACCGTCTGCCCACCACCAATGCTCCCTCTAAGCTGTGGAGTCCTGGGAACAAAAATTCTACTTTGTGAGCTACTGGCATTAAAGTTGTGAGCGAGCGATTGGGCTACTGACTAAATTCGTTTGCTCTGGAGCCCCTCCTTCCCGAGGTAAGACAAAACTGTGTGAGCCGGAGGCTAAAAAACTGTGAGCCGGCACACACTGACTCAGCTTAGAGGGAACACTAGCCACCACCTGTGCATCTATACAGCTCTTTCCCAAAACAATGACCTGGAGAAGAAGGAGGAACGTCTGCTGGCGATGGTGTTTTGACCAGAACTCTCTCAGCCCCTTGATTAACAACTCTATTTGCTACAGCCCAGGAAGAGATCTGAACGCTAACAGGTATCAGGAACAGGTAACAGGAAGTGGATGCCAGGGTCCAGTGTACCTAAGGGACCACCTTTCTCCATATGTTCCCCCAAGAGCGCTACGGTTGGGGTCGCAGCACCTACTGGTGGTTCCCGGCCCCAAGGACATCAAGCTGCTGCAACCAGGGCCAGGGCTTTCTTGGTGGCGGCTCCTGTCTGGTGGAATGAGCTCCCAGAGCAGGTTCGGGCCTTGCGGGACCTAGCGTAGTTCCGCAGGGCCTGCAAGACGGAGCTCTTCCGCCAGGCCTTTGCATAGGAGCCGCCGTCGTCACTGTACCACCACCGAGTTGCCATATTCGACGGTGGATTAGATCTGGAGGTGAGCCGGCCCTGGGCAGACGCCTAGTTAACCGAAGAATGTTTGTTGTCAGGTTAGGTTGTTGAATGGAACTCATCTTGGATTAGAAAACTTTAACATCAAGAGCACCGCACTTTATTTAATGATTGTTTTATACTGTTTAATGATTGCTTTTATGTTGTTTCAACTGTTGTTATGGTAATTGCCTCTGTTGTAGCTGCCCTGAGCTCGTTGGGGAGGTCAGGGTACAAATTTAATAAATAAATAAATAAATAAATAAATAAAATATTTGGATGGGCCATGGTCCACCAACTGCCCCTCCATTAGATAAGTTATTGTAGAAAATCTATACAGAGCTTTGACCAGAACTCTCGCAGCCCCTTGGTTAGCTATGCTAATTGCTACAGCCCAGGAAGAGAACTGAACAGATTTTTATCTGGGAGAACCGGGCTTGATTCCCCACGCCTCCATATGCAGCTGCTGGTGTGACCTTGGGTCAGTCACAAGTTCTATCAGAGCTGTTCTCTCATGAGCAGTCCTTGAAAGAGCTCCTTCAGCGCCACTGACCTCACAGGGTGTCTGTGTCAGGCTCAGTATGCATATTATAGTTTGCCTGCCATAGAGGAAGGAGGAGGGGAAAAGAGGTGTGAAAACCAAATGCTTTCATTTTCCGAAACGCCTTGATGTACCAGACACTGTGTCGCTGAGACCTGTTGTTTTGCCTTATTTCTGTAGAGGGGTACATGCTTTTTTCTTGGGGGGGGGG